AAGGCATGGCATCCCTACCACAAGTGCGTCTTCAGGCTCCTGCGACAATACAAGCTCTAGACTATCTGGAAAAGGAGATGTCAGCAGACCCTGGGGAAAAGGAGGATGCACAAGAAAGAAGCCCAGGAAGTAATCTGCCAGAAACGGATTTCCGAGGACAGTGGCAGAGGGCAATAAGACAAGCTCAGCAACACCCAGAAAAGGCACGGGATCTAATCAGAAACTTCGAGGATGCAGTGCTGAGCCAGGGGAAGATAGCCATAGTTGAGGGCCTGAGACTCCTGTTTCAGTGGAAACCAACGGAGCAGAGTGCGGCCCACCGTTCCCAAAGGGCAACGCAGCAGCGCCAGGGAGAAGAAGGGTCCAGGGTTTAGGAGGTACAGGATATGCTAGCGAATAAAGCAAGCGGGGTAGGACAGCAGGCGCAGACTCGTTAGAAACGAATCATATGGCTCGGCTGAACTTTTCTTCTTTTCCTTTCTTACTATTTGACCCTATGTTTGTCCAGTTTAGATATTTTGTTTGGGTTCGGATGTTGTGTTTTGAAAGCATGGGACACTGAACCGTTTTCCAGTATGAGCCTAAGCTGGCATGTGCACCAGCATCCCGGGTTGAGAGGTGGAGGGATTCCCGACCTCCTTTTGCTCATACAATAAAATCATGCTATTCTATTTTTTTTTTAAAAGAAGATCAATGCTGCACTGCAGAAAGGATGACCAGCAGCCACCACAAGAGAGAGTGCATGGAGGTCTGAATACTTGTGAAATAAGTTCAAATCTAGGCTACCAGCCGGGTCGCCCAGGTCACCTTGTTTGCCCGAGCCATGCAAGGACCAAAGAAGGTCACAGCCAAAAGAAAAAGAAAAAGAGAAAAAACTGAAAGAAAAAAAAAACTTGAAGAACGCTGTTGTGAAAACAGCTGGAGATATCAGAACTGAGAATGCTGACATGAGTAACAAAAAATCAGGTGAAAAACATAACGGCCGAAAGTAGTTCAAGGGTTTCTGCGTTCAGTCTATCTACGCAGAGTGAATCGGTTCCTAAGGAAACCCTGAAAGGCGGCGCCGATGGGTACTAGAAAGTGACGGAATTTGAATTAAGCGAGCGCTACTGAACAAAACAAAATTGGATGATTGGACCAAAAACTTCTAGAATCAATCGTAGATTGAACCGTATGTTATGCAGAAAAATTAACTGAACGACTTTTGCCTCAGGGTCACATCGGGAATCTTTACCATTTTTTATTTATTTTTTAATTATCTTTTTGGGCCCGTCCGGGCAAGTGGTCCCAGGCCACTCTGGTTGCCAAGGTTCACATTCGTAATCATAGGGAGTCCGGACTTCCTCCCCTCCCCCCTCCTTCCCCCCTCCCGAAAGAAAAAAGAAAGAGCTGGAATTTCTTTAGTCAAGGGTTAGTAAGGTTTTGTGCGTTGAGCAATCAATGCAAAGAATATTGGATGCACAATCGATGAATGCATACAAACAGCAGAGGCATGGCAGTAGGACGAATGTGGCACACACGCATTGCACGGGCTTCCCGCACAGGTCCTGGGGGCCCCAGACTTGATTATGAGCACCCTATGGCCCTGTGCAACCTGTTGGGGGGGGGGGGCATAAGGCCGCGGTAATAACGAAGCTATATTCTTCGCTTAATATACCTCCCACTACCTAACTAACTAGGAATGATACACACGTTGATATACCCTCCAGCGGCTAGCTACACTAAGGGTTATGGGTTGAGCCTATCCCCTCAGGGTTGAGCCTCCCCCCTTCAGGGTTGAACCTATTTTTTTTAATAACGAAGGTTACGAAGCTATATTCTTTGCTTAATATACCTCCCACTACCTAACTAACTAGGAATGATACACACGTTGATATACCCTCCAGTGGCTAGCTACACTAAAGGTTATGGGTTGAGCCTATCTCCTCAGGGCTCTCCCCTTCAGGGTTTAACCTAACCCCTGGCAACGGGTCGCATTCCCCACCAACCAACCCGGAGGGACAACCTGACTGTCTCAGCTGGTGAACGCGCAGCGCGCCATGCATTCTAAGTTTTGTGCAACGCAGCGCGACATGCATTCTAAGTTTTGTGCAACGCAGTGCGCCATGCATTCTGAGTTTCGTGCAGCGCAGCGCGCCACGCATTCTAAGTTTTGTGCAGGTGGTCATATTCTTCACCTGTTCTAGTTTACGGATAGTATCATTTAGGACCTCTGACATCAGGGCAGGCCTAAGAGCCTGGTCGGACCAGCGGTAGGCCGCCAGGTTCTCACGCGTTTTTGGCCGGTTGAGGTCATGAAAGACTTTGTCCACAGTAGGGCTGGACCCTTTTTTGGTCCAGTAGCGCCTGGTCCAGCCCTGGCACGTTCTAGGCCGGACTAGGTATACCTGCTGATGCAGCAGGGCGTCTGGAGGTTCGGTTGGAGGTTCGGTTGGAGGTTTGGTTGGAGGTTCAGTTGGAGGTTCCGTTGGAGGTTCGGTTGGAGGTTCGGTTGGAGGTTCGGTTGGAGGTTCGGTTGGAGGTTCGGTTGGAGGTTCTGGTGGAGATTCGGTTGGAGGTCCGGTTGGGACCCAGGCCACCCGTTTTGGACCTGGGTCTCTGGACGAAGGTTTCTGCCACCCTCCAGCACCATTAGATAGGACTGGATCTGTAGGCCGAGGAGGCCTACCGGGTAGAGGAGAGACTGGCCCACCCGTAAATAGCTGGGCCTCACACGTTAGGTAGTAATAATAAAATAAATCTTTTCATCCACATTATACTCTCCTGTGAACTTTTTGATTCAAAAGCTTTCTCAACCTCATCGTACTCTGAACAGATTTGTGAGGGCTTCCGAAGGAATCGGAGTTGCCAGATTACGAACAACCACAGCAGGCAAGAGTGGAAGTGCCACGCATACATAGAGAGTAGGCCGGAAAATGCTCTTCTGCAGCAGCTGGTGCATGCTAGCCTCCACTGTTGTTGGGCAGCCACAGACAGGACACCACCATCGTTGAAGAGACTACCCATCTCCACTATGTTCTTAGCTTCCCCCTGCTGATTCCCCATCTCATCCACAGCACCATCTTCGTGGGCTCACATTTAGACAAACGGTCACTCCGATGAGTTAGCTGAAGTTATTCAGTGAGACACTGTTTTTCCCAAAACTCAGGGCTTTGTTTTGCCAGAAATGTGATTCTTTCTCTCAAACCTTTTCTCTCTCTCTCTCTCTCTCTCTCTCTCTCTCTCTCTCTCTCTCTCTCTCTCTCTCTCTCTCTCTCT